GCTCCAGCTCAGTGACATCTGGAGCCCAGAGTGGCCCCTGGGTGCTGCCTGGTGATCTGCCCTGCAGCGAGGTGGTAGGTGGGTGGAGGCAGGAGGAAGGCCCGAGGCTCTGACTTCCGCAGCGGGCCCTGGAGGGACACCAGAAGCAGGCTGGGGCATCTGGCTAGGAAGGGCCAGGTAGAGGAGGTCAAAGGGAAGGTGACAGTCCAGGGCTAGACCATGACATAACTCACTGACAAGGTAGCTGGGATGGCGTCATAAAAGGCCCTCTGTGGATGCCCATCACTTTGTGACAGCAGTTGAGAATACTGTTCTGGTGCGGAGCAGGGGCAGGGAATACAGGCACTGAAGTACAGACACTGCCAGTCACCGCGGTCCCCAGCACAACCTGACAAGGGGCTTCTGGTCAACCCCATTTACAGAAAGGTAACTAAGGTCTGAGTAAGGCAGGGATGGCCTGCAGCGCTGTGGTAAGGTGCCTCCATCTCAGTACCCGGGGAACTTGCCACACTCCTCATCCGAGTTCCAAGCACCAGCAGGGAAGATAAGCCCTAGGGAGTTCCTGTTAGATTTCATGCATGGTGCCTTGAATGACATTGGCCCCCAGAAAACAGTTACAAGGGATGAAGGAAGATGCCCCGGGGCAAGGAGGAACGCCAACCCCTAGCCAACCCATGGTGTGATCTAGCCAGCACCTGGAAAGACCTCCATTCCCACTTGAGAGAAAGCCCAGGGAGGCCATACACCTTGCTTGCCCCTCCCTCCCCTTCCCCTGCAGCTGATAGCAGGCCAGGCCCCTCCCCTCCTCTCAGCCTTCTCCAGAGGAGGGAGGACAATCTATGTAACACTGGAGTAACGAACATTTAGGGTACATTCATGATGCACCAGACTTGCAGCTTCTCATCTAATTCTCCAAGCAATATTTAGTATCAGCGTTTATTGTACAGTGAGGAGTGTCATACTTTTCCATTCAAGTACAGCATGTACTTGGACCATACTCAGCCTCCACACTCTCTTCTCCCAACTCTGAGTCTTCTTCCTTCCCCATTTTCCTTCTGTTTCCACATTATATATAAATGACCTTATACATCTACATAAAGTCTAGGACCCGGGGTTGGATTGATGTCCCAGGGTAAGAGTTCATACTGTTCTTCCAGAGGACCTGAGTTCATTTTCCAGAACCCACATCAGGTAGTTCAATGGCCTCTAACTCCAGCTCCAGGACAACTGATTTCTCTGGCCTCTGGTTATCTGTACTCATGTGCACATACCAACTCTCTCTCAATCTCCCTCCCTCCCTCCCTTCCTCCCTCCCTCCCTTCCTCCTTCCCTCCCCCCCTCCCTCCCTCCCTCTCTCCTGCTTGCAGATTCAGATGAGTGATCTCAGCTATTCCCTGCCTCCACTTTGCTCTGCCATCATGGACTCTAACCCTCCGAAACCATATGCCCAATCAAATTCTTTTCTAAGTTGCCTTGGTCATGGTGTTTCTTCACAACGATACAACAGTGACCAAGACAGTGTGTGTGGCCCATTTTCTTTTCTTATACACTTGCTGGGGACATAAACATCAAGGCTGATTCTATAACCCAGCTGTTGTGAATAGTGTAACAAAAACATGGATGTGCAAGTGTCTCTGTGATGTGTTAAGGGTCTGTCAGGTAGCAGGGCATGGTGGCGCACACCTTTAATCCCAGTACTTCAAGAGGGAGAGGCAGGGAGATCTCTCAGTTTGTGGTACCCTAATCTACAAAGCAAGTTTCAGGAGAGCCAGGGCTACACAGAGAAACCCTTCCTTCAAAAACTAAAAAGGGGGAAAAAAGCAAACCTGAACTAAATTTGTTTTATCAGTCCCTAGCGCTTGTGTCAGAGGCCTGGCATGATGGTGTATACCTATATTTCTAACCCTGCGGAGGGGAAGGTGGGAAGATCCCTGGGGCCTATTGGCCAGCTAGCTGAATCAGCAAACTCCAGGTTCAGTGAGACCCTGTTTCAGTAAATAATGCAACGAGTGACTAAGGAAGACACTTAACATTGACCACTGGCCTCCACAGCCATGCACACACACACACACACACACACACACACACACACACACGCGCGTGAGCCCCAAATCTGGATCTGCCACAGCAGGACCCCACCTCTTCTTCTTCTCTCTGACACCATCATAATAACCCAGAGGGAGGGGCTAGGCAGTGCAAAGCCCCAGGAACTCCTCCAGGGTCCAGACAACATGGACACCCCTACCCACTACCAGTTTTGTTTACTGAGAGTTTTCTCCCCAAATCCCAGTGACACCAATGCTTCCCACTGGATCCATAATTTCTCCACTTGACAAAGGCAGAAACTGAGATCCGGAAAGGAGAAGGTGCCTAGGGTACCTAGCCAGAAGTGGCAGTGCTGGCACCCAGCTTTGGGTTAGTCCGACTTCAGAGGGAAGCTCTAGATCACATGGGGAACAAGCATTACAGTCACTGCAGACATTTGGATCTGCTGAGTAAGGTAGCAAGCTCATTAGAAATTCTCAGGCCTGGGGAAAGAGCTTGGATATCTATGTGAGTTCCAGGGGTCATGCCCAGCAGCGTGGTAGGGAGAGACAGAGAAGAGGAGGAGGAGGAAGAGGAGGAGGAGGAGGTGGAAGAAAAGAGAAGGGAGAGGAGAGGAGAGGAGAGGGAGGAGGAAAGAAAAATACTCGGAGGATGTAGTTTGCTGAATCTCAGGTTGTCTTATCATCCACAAAGTATTCAAGATGGAAGGCTGGCTGGGGTGTAGCTTAGTGGTAAGATACTTGTCTAGTGTGTATGAGGCCTTACATCCCATCCTTAGCCCCAGGTGTACACACACACACACACACACACACACACACACACACACACACACACACACGATGTGTGGAGAATGGTGGTACAAGTCTGTAATCCCAGCACTGATGTCTAAGGGTTTCTATAGCTGTGACCAAACACCTTGACCATAAACAATTTGGAATTCATTTCAGCTAAATCTCAGCAGATCCTCCATTGCTGAAGGAATTCAGGGCCAGAACCTGGAGGCAGGAGCTGATGCAGAGGCCATGGAAGGATGCTGCTTCCTGACTTGCCCCCCATGACTTGCTTAGCCTGCTTTCTTATAGAACCAAGGACCACTAACCGAGGTGGCACCACCCACAATGGGCTGGGCCCTCCCACATCAATCACTAGTTAAGAAAATACACTACAACCTTGCTCACAGGACAATCTTGTGGGATCATTTCAGCTGGGATACTCCACCATTCATTCACCAATGCCCACCCATGCCCAAATCCTGGACCCTTAGATGCACGAACCACTTCCTGATCCCACAGGCTCACAGACTGGGAAGGACCAGATGTAGGCACCAGTGACTCCAGTACATGCCATTGCCTAGGTCCTAGGATACACACTTAGGAAATGAGCAAGACACACAGCACCAGGGAGGAAGGCATCCTGGGAGAAGGCAAGCTCCTGACTGGGACAGGGGTCTTCCAGAGCCAGGCTGTGAAATTTCCAATTCTAGTTCTGTAATTGGCAGGTGCTATTCTTTCAATGCTAAGGATGGGGCTTGGGACCTCATGGGTGCTAGCAAGCACTCTCCCACCGGGCTACACTCCCAGCCCATGCTGGAAAGTGGCTTAACCCTCTTCCAACCCGTTAGCATCAAAGCTTCACAAGGTAACGTGGCCTGTGAAACTTGACAGCATGGTCGTTTACAGGGTCTGGATGGGTGGCTAAGACCAGACACAAAGGAACTTCTGCTTTAGGGACACTGGGTTAGAAAGGACATCCCTAGGATTGCTTCGGAAATTCTGATCTGGATGATCTGAAGGAGCCTGGGACTCAGCATAACAAATGGTACTGAATGAAGGAGCCTGGGACTCAGCATCAACAAACAGTACTGAATGGAGCTGGGACTCAGCATCAACACAGTACTGAAGCGGGAGAGTGTGCGTGTGTGTGTGTGTGTGTGTGTGTGTGTGTGTGTGTGTGTGTGTATGACTGTTTGGGTGTGGGGGGGCATGTGTGGTCAGAGCTGAGGCAGAGACTGTAGACGCTTTCCTGGCACGTCTTCCACGTTGGCATCTTTTGCCTTTGAGCAAGAGCCACACTGCCGTCAGGCTGTCCATGTCCTCACACAGCCCGTCTGCAGGGTGGCAAGGCAGAGTGCTGTCCCAGAAGGACGAGCTTCATACCCACCCAGACTGGAGCTACAGGGTCTTTGTATTTATTTATTTGTAGGAGACAGGGCCTAATGTATCCAAGGCCATCTTCAAACTTGTGACCTGAGGATGACCTTGAACTTCTGATCCTCCTGCCTCTATCTCCCAAGAGCTGAGACTGCAGACATGCCCACCATGTCCAGCTGATGTAGTTCAGGGGACCATCTGAGTTGCATCTCTAGCCCCCACAGGCCTCATTCAAAGCCAGGCCTTGCCTCGTTGACCTGTCAAACTTGACCACCAGGAATGAAATCTTATTTGTTTGTCTGGTTTTGCTTTATTTTGTTTTCAAGACAGCGTCTCACTATGTAGCTCTGGCTGTCCTGGAACTCACTATGTAGACCAGGATGGTCTCTCGGCCTCCCAAGTGCTGGCATTAAAGGTATGAACCACTATGCCCAGCCAGGAATGAACTTTTAAACCAAACGTTAATTATTTCAAATTCCAGCAACTCCCTCTAAACTCTGGCGTTGACTGTTCTGGACTGTGGACTTACTTCCTCCTCCTCCTCTGACACTGAAGCATCCGTGTGGTGTGGCCACCACCTCTCCAGCCCCTCTCCCTACAACCCCGGCAGGCCCGATGTTCCTCTCCTCCTGAGTGTCCCACCCTGCAGGATGACCCTGCACACCCGGCAGAGCTGCCTCAGGTACCACATGTCAGCAACCGGAACAAGCCGGCCGCTGCTCACATGCTGAAGCTGCTGGACTGCTTCCTTGATGACTCAGATTGACACCGTGAAAATCAATCATCCCCCTCATCATCACTTCTGACTTAGGCCTCTCCGGGCCTGGGCATATCAGCAAGCTGAGCTCATCATCATTCTGACTTCCTGACTATGCCGTCTGGGAAGTTGCCCTCTCCCGTGCCTCCCAAGACAACCTAGAAAAGATAAAAACCTAAAAGCAGGAAGTCCGAAGCCATTGCTCAGTTCTCCCTGCTTGCAGCAAGGTGCCAGCCTGAACCACAGAGCCAAGCCTCCAGGCAGCTGCAATGAACTGGAGAGGTGCTGGCCCCACTTGGCCTTCCTGGGAAAGCGATGTGTGACGGCAGTCTCCCAGCTGAGCCTGCCTGCCGCACAGCCCAGAACCTGGACTTGAATCCCAGTTTGCACCGCATTCTAGCTGTGGGATTTGGGGCACGTTACTCGGCCTCTCAGAGCGTAAGTAGGTATAGTAACAGAATTTACTTCATAGGGTTGGAGAAAGGACAGGTGTGAGAGGCTCCGGCTGGGGTTGTGGCACTGGTCTACAATCCCAGAACTTGGTGGCAGAGACCAGACAGAGAACAAGCTTGAGACCAGCCTAGGCTACATAGAGAGTTCAAGGCCAGCCCAAGCTATGCAGTAAGACCTTGCTTTAAAACAAGAGAGGCTCCGAGGTTAAGAGTACTGGCTGCCCTTCTAGAGGACCCAGGTTCAATTCCTAGCACCCACGTGGGCAGTTCACAACCACCTTCAGTCCAGTCCCAGGAGATCTTCCATCCTCTTCTGATCTCCACAAGCACCAGGCACACACAGTGCACACACAGTGCACACACAGTGCACACACACACACACACAGAGAAAACATGCAGACACATAAAATAATAAAATAAATAAAGCCAAGAGCTGGGGGTAGAGCTCAGAGGCAGAGCACTGGCTAGCTAGCATGAACAAGGCCTGTGTTTGACTCTTAGCATAAATATAGAAATAAATAAATATCTCCCTTTCCACAGACACAAGCTTCACGGGAGCCGCTCCTCAGCCTCTTGCTGTAGGTAAGGAAAGTTCTAAGAGCCGCAAAGGACCTGTGATGAGCAAGCCTCACTGACTCATTAAAGGTCCCCCAGGACCGACAAACTAACTCTTTCTTTCCCCATCTCAGAAGCCATAGTCAGCAAGCCACTCGACCAGAAGAGTTCAGAAGAGGTGTTGGAGCTGGTGGGGACGGGGTGAGCCAGACCTGTGGACCCACCCTCCAGCACGCAGCCTTTGAGGCAGAGGTCAGCTTCCCTCTCCACCGGGTCCCAGGGCATCAGCTGTGTGGGCAGGATCAGCTGTGTGGGCCGGATCAGCTGTGTGGGCCGGATCAGCTGTGCGGGCCGGATCAGCTGTGTGGGCCGGATCAGCTGTGTGGGCGGGATCAGCTGTGTGGGCGGGATCAGCTGTGTGGGCCGGATCAGCTGTGTGGGCGGGATCAGCTGTGTGGGCGGGATCAGCTGTGTGGGCTGGATCAGCTGTGTGGGCTGGATCAGCTGTGTGGGCTGGATCAGCTGTGTGGGCGGGATCAGCTGTGTGGGCCAGATCAGCTGTGCCGGCGGGATCAGCTGTGTGGCCTGGATGCAGGGCTACGGAAGGCTTCATCAGCGCTAGGCAGTCCCAAGGTGGAAGGCCGTGGGTGGAGCCACGCAGGGAAGGTGCCAAGCTGCACACTTCTGTCTCAGCCGCTGGGGCGGGAGGCTGCCTCCTCTTTACTACGAATCAGACTGTAGTCAGGCAAAGAGAGGACGCGTCCTAGAGAGGAGAGGTTGGGGGGGCGGGGACAGGAGGACCGGAGGCTGAGGAGGAAGGAGGAGACAGGAGAGGAGGGGAGGGAGAGGAGGGGAGACAGGGGAGGGGGGGAAGTGAAGGAGGGGAAGGGGACGGAGCAGAGAAAGGCAGGGGCAGGGACAGAGTCAAAGGATGCAGGGGTTTTATGACCACTGAAGAGAAAGAAGCGAAACAAACAAGCCGATTTCAGACACAGAATTGCTGAGCCAGAAAAGGAAGTCTACGGGTGGCAGAGTGGGCAGCGCCTGAGCCTCGGCCAAGGTGACCACATGGCCAAGGTGACCACACGGCCAAGGTGACCGCACGGCCAAGGTGAACACACGGCAATGGTGAACACACACACAGCAGAGGTGAACACACACACAGCAAAGGTGAACACACACACAGCA